AAGGGCGCAAAGGACAAGGATTGCATTATCATGTAACCAAGAGCCTGAACGTTTACCGCTCATTGCCTGACTCCGACCACCATTTTTACCCTCTCTTTATTGTATGATTCCCCTCGATTCCGACGATGACTCCTGGAAATTCTGTTCCATTCCTCGCCATGTCCAAAGCATCTTAAACTATTACATCCATCCTACTGCATGTAACCTACACAATCCTTTTCCGACCTTGATTCTTCATGGACAGATTTTGTAAAGTATTATCTTACACCCACAGCATATAAATACCTTCTTTCTTGGATACGTAATTGAGTAATGCAGTAATCAGATTATCAGCCCAAAATATACCATTTGCTTCAGAGCTACCCCACAAACACCAGGTATCGGGCCCTCGGCGGCCAGTATCCCATGTGTGTGGGTGGATACTGATACCGGATACTGAAAATTATGTAAACATACACGTGACCTACCTGTCGCGCTTCCTGTCGCGCTTTGGATTACGATATTCACGCGCGTTGCGGCGGTCGCGCCCTTGGTCGCGCCAGTGAAAAATGCCTCGAGCGGTATTGATAGTTTTGAGTGAAATAATCTATGATTTGCCATTAATCCAATTGACACTTGGGTTAGTCTGAAAAATGAGAACTGCTTGAAAATTCTTAGAGCTGCATCAAGCAATGAGTAGGATTCCCGGGTCCTCTCGAGTCAAACAATCATGCCAAGACACATATTTCAGAATTCACTCAATTCTACTCTACGAGGCTGAGATTGATATGGCTCGTACTTTCCCATTTTCGAATGAGATAGAGTGCTCTCGTGTCTCATCAATCCATTCTCATATCGGATAGAAACCTTGCAATTGGTTCAACTTCATATTCATTCAGTAATTCTACTACAGATTTCATACTAGAATCTAACAATACCACTACAGTGAACATACCTGCTCAGTAACCTGCCCTCCAAATTGCTCCACCAATGCTGAGATTGTACTTGAGCTTGAATATCAAGAAGGGATGGCCTGTAAACAACATATAAGTCTGTGATCTGTGATACAGGGGACAGATCCTGAAGACGTACAAGTTGAATATGGGGTCCAATGAGATGAGAGAGAAAGAGGCTCCAGATTGGCTTCAGACTCTAACTTAAAGATCTAAGCGAGTTCGTGTGAGGAAATGAACCCTGGAGGATCAGATGATCTAAGCGAGTATCCTTGTACAAAAATGGTGAAACTCGCTGGGAAAAGGGAGGAAAAGGGTCCACAGGGTGAACTGATGGTGAGCATCTAAGCGAGTATCCGTGTAAGAAAATCCGGAAAAGGAGGAAAAGGGTCCTATAATGATGCTAATGAACTGATGATGGACATGGAGTCGATTTGCGACAAGCGGCTGTGAGGCAGTGAACAGAACGAATAATAGAGAGGCGAAGGTCAATTCTCTCTCCCTTCCCTCTCTTTCCCTTTTCGATTTTTTGATTTATTTATTTATTTATTATTTAATTACCCCACAAACACCAGTATCGGGCCCTCGGCGGCCAGTATCCCATGTGTGTGGGTGGATACTGATACCGGATACTGAAAATTATGTAAACATACACGTGACCTACCTGTCGCGCTTCCTGTCGCGCTTTGGATTACGATATTCACGCGCGTTGCGGCGGTCGCGCCCTTGGTCGCGCCAGTGAAAAATGCCTCGAGCGGTATTGATAGTTTTGAGTGAAATAATCTATGATTTGCCATTAATCCAATTGACACTTGGGTTAGTCTGAAAAATGAGAACTGCTTGAAAATTCTTAGAGCTGCATCAAGCAATGAGTAGGATTCCCGGGTCCTCTCGAGTCAAACAATCATGCCAAGACACATATTTCAGAATTCACTCAATTCTACTCTACGAGGCTGAGATTGATATGGCTCGTACTTTCCCATTTTCGAATGAGATAGAGTGCTCTCGTGTCTCATCAATCCATTCTCATATCGGATAGAAACCTTGCAATTGGTTCAACTTCATATTCATTCAGTAATTCTACTACAGATTTCATACTAGAATCTAACAATACCACTACAGTGAACATACCTGCTCAGTAACCTGCCCTCCAAATTGCTCCACCAATGCTGAGATTGTACTTGAGCTTGAATATCAAGAAGGGATGGCCTGTAAACAACATATAAGTCTGTGATCTGTGATACAGGGGACAGATCCTGAAGACGTACAAGTTGAATATGGGGTCCAATGAGATGAGAGAGAAAGAGGCTCCAGATTGGCTTCAGACTCTAACTTAAAGATCTAAGCGAGTTCGTGTGAGGAAATGAACCCTGGAGGATCAGATGATCTAAGCGAGTATCCTTGTACAAAAATGGTGAAACTCGCTGGGAAAAGGGAGGAAAAGGGTCCACAGGGTGAACTGATGGTGAGCATCTAAGCGAGTATCCGTGTAAGAAAATCCGGAAAAGGAGGAAAAGGGTCCTATAATGATGCTAATGAACTGATGATGGACATGGAGTCGATTTGCGACAAGCGGCTGTGAGGCAGTGAACAGAACGAATAATAGAGAGGCGAAGGTCAATTCTCTCTCCCTTCCCTCTCTTTCCCTTTTCGATTTTTTGATTTATTTATTTATTTATTATTTAATTACCCCACAAACACCAGTATCGGGCCCTCGGCGGCCAGTATCCCATGTGTGTGGGTGGATACTGATACCGGATACTGAAAATTATGTAAACATACACGTGACCTACCTGTCGCGCTTCCTGTCGCGCTTTGGATTACGATATTCACGCGCGTTGCGGCGGTCGCGCCCTTGGTCGCGCCAGTGAAAAATGCCTCGAGCGGTATTGATAGTTTTGAGTGAAATAATCTATGATTTGCCATTAATCCAATTGACACTTGGGTTAGTCTGAAAAATGAGAACTGCTTGAAAATTCTTAGAGCTGCATCAAGCAATGAGTAGGATTCCCGGGTCCTCTCGAGTCAAACAATCATGCCAAGACACATATTTCAGAATTCACTCAATTCTACTCTACGAGGCTGAGATTGATATGGCTCGTACTTTCCCATTTTCGAATGAGATAGAGTGCTCTCGTGTCTCATCAATCCATTCTCATATCGGATAGAAACCTTGCAATTGGTTCAACTTCATATTCATTCAGTAATTCTACTACAGATTTCATACTAGAATCTAACAATACCACTACAGTGAACATACCTGCTCAGTAACCTGCCCTCCAAATTGCTCCACCAATGCTGAGATTGTACTTGAGCTTGAATATCAAGAAGGGATGGCCTGTAAACAACATATAAGTCTGTGATCTGTGATACAGGGGACAGATCCTGAAGACGTACAAGTTGAATATGGGGTCCAATGAGATGAGAGAGAAAGAGGCTCCAGATTGGCTTCAGACTCTAACTTAAAGATCTAAGCGAGTTCGTGTGAGGAAATGAACCCTGGAGGATCAGATGATCTAAGCGAGTATCCTTGTACAAAAATGGTGAAACTCGCTGGGAAAAGGGAGGAAAAGGGTCCACAGGGTGAACTGATGGTGAGCATCTAAGCGAGTATCCGTGTAAGAAAATCCGGAAAAGGAGGAAAAGGGTCCTATAATGATGCTAATGAACTGATGATGGACATGGAGTCGATTTGCGACAAGCGGCTGTGAGGCAGTGAACAGAACGAATAATAGAGAGGCGAAGGTCAATTCTCTCTCCCTTCCCTCTCTTTCCCTTTTCGATTTTTTGATTTATTTATTTATTTATTATTTAATTACCCCACAAACACCAGTATCGGGCCCTCGGCGGCCAGTATCCCATGTGTGTGGGTGGATACTGATACCGGATACTGAAAATTATGTAAACATACACGTGACCTACCTGTCGCGCTTCCTGTCGCGCTTTGGATTACGATATTCACGCGCGTTGCGGCGGTCGCGCCCTTGGTCGCGCCAGTGAAAAATGCCTCGAGCGGTATTGATAGTTTTGAGTGAAATAATCTATGATTTGCCATTAATCCAATTGACACTTGGGTTAGTCTGAAAAATGAGAACTGCTTGAAAATTCTTAGAGCTGCATCAAGCAATGAGTAGGATTCCCGGGTCCTCTCGAGTCAAACAATCATGCCAAGACACATATTTCAGAATTCACTCAATTCTACTCTACGAGGCTGAGATTGATATGGCTCGTACTTTCCCATTTTCGAATGAGATAGAGTGCTCTCGTGTCTCATCAATCCATTCTCATATCGGATAGAAACCTTGCAATTGGTTCAACTTCATATTCATTCAGTAATTCTACTACAGATTTCATACTAGAATCTAACAATACCACTACAGTGAACATACCTGCTCAGTAACCTGCCCTCCAAATTGCTCCACCAATGCTGAGATTGTACTTGAGCTTGAATATCAAGAAGGGATGGCCTGTAAACAACATATAAGTCTGTGATCTGTGATACAGGGGACAGATCCTGAAGACGTACAAGTTGAATATGGGGTCCAATGAGATGAGAGAGAAAGAGGCTCCAGATTGGCTTCAGACTCTAACTTAAAGATCTAAGCGAGTTCGTGTGAGGAAATGAACCCTGGAGGATCAGATGATCTAAGCGAGTATCCTTGTACAAAAATGGTGAAACTCGCTGGGAAAAGGGAGGAAAAGGGTCCACAGGGTGAACTGATGGTGAGCATCTAAGCGAGTATCCGTGTAAGAAAATCCGGAAAAGGAGGAAAAGGGTCCTATAATGATGCTAATGAACTGATGATGGACATGGAGTCGATTTGCGACAAGCGGCTGTGAGGCAGTGAACAGAACGAATAATAGAGAGGCGAAGGTCAATTCTCTCTCCCTTCCCTCTCTTTCCCTTTTCGATTTTTTGATTTATTTATTTATTTATTATTTAATTACCCCACAAACACCAGTATCGGGCCGCTCGGCGAGGAAATGACATGAAGAAATTATATTGTTTTTGAATAATGATATCAGAGGGCTTCGCAGTATAGAGTCAGGTATGAGAGATCAATGCATGGACCCCTAGCTCAGTGGTAGAGCGTGAGATTCCAGCACGGCGCAGTATTCGCCGCAGCAGACCTTGCGGCGAACGCTGCGCAGGAGATTCCTCAAGGTCATCCGTTCAATCCGGGTGGGGTTCACTTTTTTGGTCCTCTTTTGTTTGTGTGTTCCTTGTTGCTACTGTGTTATTTTGTTGTGGAGAAAAAGGAGAAACTAACATTTGAATTTTATATCTGTAATTGTGCTTCATGTGCATTTATCTCCTTCCCTCATGCGCACCATCGCACCACCGCTGACAAACTTCCTCGAACGCTTGGAAGGCCTTCAGCCCACTCTGCTGACTGAGCAAATGCTGTTTTGGAGCCTTCTGTCGAGCATGTGAAGCTTGAAGCTTACAAACGTGGACCCATTGGTACTTTTCTGTTTAATCATGGAACGTGGCGGTCTTGGTCATTCTCGGTATCAGAGATGAAGTCATTATGAAGTTTCATGTGCTGGTATAAATCTCCTGGAGACTCTCAGGAGTGGAGCCTTCACACGAACGTCTTTCCCAATCTCTGGTATTTCTATCCACCTACAATTGCAACAACACCGTCTTGCAATACTTCAGACACGGATGGCTACCCACGACGCCATTGCTACGACCTCTAAAGGCCATTTCGACGTGATAAAAGTTCCCACTGAGACGCCTGGCCCTAATGAGGTGCTCATCAAAGTGGAGTATGCATCGATGATCGCATTCGATACCTATGTCACCGACCGAGGATTTCGTGTGGAAAATTATCCCATGATACTCGGTTTCAACGCCGCTGGGCCATTCATAAGCTTGGGTCTGGCGTCGATGACTTGAAGGTCGGGGACAGGGTGAGTTTGCCCCTCACAGCATCGTTAATCGCTCCTCGGTGTTCATATCTCACTGCTAGGTAACCGCGTTTGGATTTGCTGAATCGCGAAATAAGACCATGCAAGAATATGTAGTTGAACCTCGAAACGTCGTGGCAAAGGTGAGGCCCCAGGTTTATAAGAAAGTAACGAGGCCCGTATATTTACAAAATTCTATCTCGTCCATGACAGATTCCGGATTCACTCCCACTGGCAGAAGCAGCTACGGTCCCAGATAATTTTGTGACTGCCTTTTTCACATTGTTCAGCAACCTCGGCCTTCCGAAGCCATCGTCTTTCCCAGCTGCTGTCTCGCCTCCTCTCGCATCGACCCCTATTCTGGTTTATGGCGCTGGATCGACAGCTGGCTTGTACGCCATCCAACTTCTTCATCTTGCCGGGTACAAGAAAATAATCGCTACCGCTTCCAAGAAGCACCACGAGTATATCCATTCTCTGGGCGCGACCGACACCTTCGATTACAAGAGCCCTACCCTAGTGGAGGATATCGCCAAGGCGGTGGGCGGCGACGGGAAAGTATTGCTCGCAGTTGACTGTATTACTGCCGAGACAACCTTGGAGATTCTTGGAAAGATTATGAGCCCTCTGGGAAAACTTGCTATCCTCCTCCCTATCAAAGAAGGCGGAAGTGTTACCAATAGCCTCGACCAAGAAATGTATTGGGAAGTACGTCAGGAGAAGACACCCTTTCCGAAAGGGACGGAAATTGTGGGTGTAAGGACTTTCTTATACCAACAGGTGAGAAAGCAGTGTTCTCAGTGCCACTACATTTACCCATGCAATTCATTTATAGGACGAAAGCTTGCGGGACACGTTGATGCCTAAAATCCTCCCAGAGCTACTTGATTCAGGTTATATCAAGCCGAGTCCCGTACGCCTGATGGACAAAGGCACCTTCAAAGAGCGAGTCGGTAAAGGCCTTGAACTCCTAAGAGAGAATAAAATCAGCGGAGAGAAAGTGATCGTAAAAATATCTGCATGACTCGATCGTAATCTTAATTAACCAATATATTTTCTTCCATTTTGCAGTTCACAACCTCTACATCTCGTCAGCGTTACTTGAGCTCAACAGACTCTGAGACGCTTGCACTTATTATTTATGCGTCATTCTATGATTGACATACTGCAATTGGAAGACCGAAGACCACAAGACGCAGACTCGCTCGACCATTGTTTCGTCGTCTTCTTGCAACAGCTACTTGCTCGCTGCATCCGTGGCGAAGCGGCCAAGTCCTACCATCATACATAGGAAAGAAGTCATAACTCCCGACAATTCCTGTGGCCATGGATCGCCCTTTAACTAGCCAGCGATTCCTTCCAACTGACGTTTCGCCTCCTCTCACTTCGATTCTGTTCTAGTTCACAAGGCTAATTCAACCGCTGCTTTCTCATTAACTGACGAGGCTGAAAGGGAGCAGCGGCAGTTCCCCAAAAAGACGGAAACGATAATACGTTGGTGGTGGTGTCTAAAATCCTCTCCCATCTCCTCAGATCTGGTTATATCAAATTGAATCCGGTGCGCCTTAGGGATCGAGGGGCGAAACCTTCTGCGAACGAGTGGGCAAGGCCCTCGTATGTATGGCTCATAATGCTCCGTGATTAGGCAGTCAAGTCAATCAATGCATTTCGCCCTTTCCGCAGCGTCCGGATGGCGTCTTTCTGGGGAGCTTATGCGCTCATACTTATTTCCTTTCGACATGTAGCTTTACGAAGCTTACCAATATCTGTCGCTATGGACATCGCTCCGAATCGAACTGCAAGCTCATTTACGGAGCGGACCATTTCTGGAGGCCTAGGTTTCAGGAATCAGAAGTGCTGACTAAAACGGTGGTGAGGGTATAAATATCCTAACTATTGGAGTGGGTGTTCATTCGATTTACCCCAGCGAATTTTTTTTAGGCTAATCGTTTTGCGAATCCAGACACGAATGTCTACCCATACTGCAATCGCTACTACTTCTAAAGGCTGCATAGGCGCCATTCAAGTCCCCACAGAGAAACCAGGCGAAGGCGAAGTTCTCATGAAAGTGGCTTTCGCGTCCATCGTACCCTTCGATGGCTATGTTGTTGATCGAGGATTTTATGTCGAAAAATATCCTGTGATAATTGGTCTCAACGCTGCTGGGACCATCACACAGGTTGGTGCTGGAGTCGCAGGACGTTCAGTAGAATTTCCCACTACCCATGTGACACCTTGTGTGACTAAGGTGCCATCACTGATGGCATAGCCTCACGAGCTCGTGGTGGCTATTTTTACCCATTAACAATGGACGAGCTCGTGTTAATTAAGGAATGGGCAAGCTTGAGGTAGATCAATGGATGAGCTGGCCATCAGGGCCAATGGCGGAGCTGTTTGCCCTTGGATGCATGGACGAGCTCTTGTTCCATTGATGGACGAGCTCGTCAAATTGGTGTTTTTGGGCTGGGGGGGGGAGGATTTTGTCGATATATTATATAGATTCTGCATTACTTCTTGCTCAGTAATATATTGAATTGCTATGCCGGAGCCATTTTGCATCAGAATTTGCATTGAACGCCAAATCCAGTGATTTCTCAGGGAAACCCTCTGACAAGTGTGTCTGATCTCTAGGGAAATATATCTGACTTCCGGAAAAGTGCATTTAACTTCCGGGGAGGTGTGTCTGATCTCCAGGAAAGTGCAGCTGACTTCCAGAAAAGTGTGTCTGACTTCCCGGGAAATGTGTCTGCCTTCTAGGAAAGTGCATCTAATCTCCGGGGAAGTGCATCTGATCTCTGGGGAAGTGCATCTGACTTCCAGGAAAGTGCATTTGACTTCCAGGGAAACACAGTGAGTCTCCTGGAATGTACGCAGAGCTCTGGAGATGCATACAGTCCGCCGGAATGCATGTGGAGCTCTGGAGATGCATGCAGGTCCCCCGGAATGTATACAGAGAGCTGGAGAGGCTTACATGTCTGCCTAAATTAATACGGAGTCCGGATTTGCTTGTGAATCCGCCAGAATGCACACGGAGCTCTGGAGATGCTTACATGTCCACCTAAATTAATACGGAGTCTGGATTTGCTTGTAAGTCCGCCGGAATGCACACGGAGCTCCGGAGATGCATGCAGCTCCGCCGGAATGCACACAGAGGTCCGGAGATGCATGCAGCTTCGCCGGAATGCACGCAGAGCTCTGGAGATGCATTTAGGTCCAGAAAAATTTATGCATAGTGCCAGAGAGGCTTACATGTCCGCCTAAATTAAACTGGAGTCCGGATGTGCTTGTGAGTCTGCCAGAATGCATGCGGAGCTCCTGAGATGCATGCAGGTCCTCCGGAATGCACGCGGAGCTCTGGAGAGGCTTACATGTCCACCTAAATTAATACAGAGTCCGGATTTGCTTGCGAGTGCGCCGGAATGCATGCAAAGCTCCGGAGATGCATGCAAAGCTCCGGAGATGCATGCAGGTCCACCGGAATGCACACAGAGCTTTGGAGAGGCTTATATGTCCGCATAAATTAATACGGAGTCCGGATTTGCTTGTGAGTCCGCCAGAATGCATGCGGAGCTCTGGAGATGCATACAGGTCTGCCGGAATGCACATAGAGGTCCGGAGATACATATAGGTCAGCCTAAATTAATACAGAGTCCGGATTGCTTGTGAGTCCACCGGAATGCACGAGGAGCTCCGGAGATGCATACAGGTCCACCTAAATTTATGCGGAGCTCTGGAGAGGCTTACATGTCTGCCTAAATTAATATGGTGTCCGGATTTGCTTGTGAGTCCGCCAGAATGCGTGCGAAGGTCTGGAGATGCATGCAGGTCCGCCGGAATGCACGCAGAGCTCCGGAGAGGCGTACATGTCCACCTAAATTAATACAGATTCCGGATTTGCTTGTGAGTCCGCCGGAATGTGTGCGGAGGTCCGGAGATGCATACATGTCCGCCTAAATTAATACAGAGTCCAGATTTGCTTGTGAGTTCGCCGGAATGTGCGCGGAGCTCCGGAGATGCATACATGTCCGCTGGAATGCATGCGGAGCTCCAGAGATGCATGCAGGTCCGCCGGAATGCACACGGAGCTCTGGAAAGGCTTACATGTCCGCCTAAATTAATACGGAGTCCAGATTTGCTTGTGAGTCCGCCGGAATGCACGTGGAGCTCCGGAGATGCATACAGGTCGACCTAAATTTATGCGGAGCTCCAGAGAGCCTTATAGGTCTGCCGGAATGCACGCAGAGCTCTGGAGAGGCTTACATGTGCACCTAAATTAATA